ACCCCTGCCCTATCAGGTGAGTCTAGGTCAGTGGACTTGAATCTGAGCAGGTGAGTGAAAGGTAAGTCCAGAGCCAAGTTTAGAAAGGCCTGGGGTGGGCATAGTGTCGGGTGAGAGGTTGGGTTCTAGTGCTGTTCTTGCTCTTCACAATGAATGTACACTTGAGTAAATAAACCATTGACTTTCTGTTATCTAAAAATGCTCTCTGTAGGGTTGTCATGAGGATTCATTGAGGAAAGGAAAAATACCTTTCTGGTATGTAAGTGGTAGAACTATACAAAATACTGTTTTCTTCCTGTGCCCTCTGTTTTTTCTGTATAAGGTCTAAATGAGATCATATGTAGGCAAGTGCCAAGTGAAAGGGGGTTCTACACACATAAGTCAGACTTACGTGCCGTTGGGCAAGTCGTCCAGTCTGTCTACTTGGGAATTAGCCTCCTAAGGGCAGCAGTAAAAAACTGTTCCCATCTCTTCCTACAGCGAGATGTCCCTGGGGTCATCAGCTGCATACTATAGTGTTTGTGGGTTTCCCAGGGAATGATGTGAGTGTCAGACAGATACTTCTTTGGGGAGGAAGATTTGAAAAGTCTACTGTCTCTTAATATTGTTTTCTCCCTGGAGAGGTCGGCTGAACGAGGGCGTTCTTGGTTAGAGACAGGATTTATGGCTCCAAGACGAAGCCCAAATAACCTTTTATTGCGAACCTCTCCTTTTGGACAGGAGACTCAAGGTCACAATCCAGTGCTTCCATCCGAGCTCAAGGCTTCAGAAGTACCTTTCCACTCCAGCGTTAAAACTCAAGATCCCGCATCACAGGAGAAGTCACCCAAGAAGCACAAGGTGCCTCTGACGGCAGCAGGTGTGCTGTTGGGGAGTAGCAGGGTGTGCTGGGGGTGGTTATGGATGATTGGGGAGGTCCAGAGTTGGAAGTCAAATGCTAAAGAGGGCTTAGCTGTCAGGTGTCAGTCAACTGAGGCAACAGGCCAAAATGGAAGTAGACGTTAAGCTTTTAATCTCTCACTGATGGGGAGCAAGAGGCTAAATAGGAGCAACCACCAGCTTCCCACTGTTCCATTATCCCCCTGGAACAGCACTGAGCGAGGGTCAGATGTCTCAGTGTAGACAGGGAGTTGTCTCACTGTCTAGGGAGCCCAAACCAAAGGCTCCTGTCCTTTTATGGACTCAAAACCTCTGGAGAAGTGAAAAGGAAAAGGAAAAGTCAAAGTAGTGGCTTGAAGTTTCTTTCTTCCTCTTGAAAAAGAGGTCTTAGCTGAGGTACCTGAGGATGGTCTAGCCAGGTTCCTGGGGACTCCTGGGTTTAGAATGCAAGTGTATTTTTTTTTTTTTGGAGAGGTTTTTGCCATGGGGCACGTGTGCTCACCAGACAGACAGAGAGAGAAGGAGAGACAGAAAGTGAGAAATCACCCCCCAGAGGGGATGGCCACGCCACAATCCCTTCTCCTCCATTCTCCTCTTGGGATCTTGGGCACACGTGCACACGCGCCCGGCATGAGTTTTAAGCCACTGGGTCCGGGACTCAAATCGCGGTCGACTACGTGGGAGTCCAGTGATATAGCCATTACACTAACTGCTGGTCCCAGGATGCAAGTGTATTTAAGAGGCTAGCCAGAGGGCTCAGTCCTGGGCTGCATCTCCCTCTAGAGACTGCACTGCGTTGGCCATGTACCAAGTGTGGAGTGGGGAAGGCAACTGGCCTTCACAAGGCCTGCCAGGAGGAGCCTTGGAGATCACACATAGGTTTCTGGCCAAGGGCCGGACTCTTCCCAGGTCCAGAGACTCAAAAGGGAAGAAAGCCAGAACCTGTGGACCATCTGCTGTGTGCCAGCATTATCCAGTGGGTGCAGCTTTTCTACCTCCCACAGCTTTGCCATGGACATTCTGGTTCTTCTTCTTAAACAATCTCAGGAACTACCCATGAGGAGATCATTTCAGTTCTGAGCTAGTTCTGCCCTTACAGAGTTGAAATCTGCCTCCTTGTTAGTAGGGCTTGGTTTCATCCTCTGGACAAGGATGAAACATGCCTTACTCAGCTAACACACTGCCTTCACATCTGTGAAGAGAGAGGTCTTGTCCCCCATAAGACTGTTTTTTCTCCTCATAGTTCTTTCTCCAACTCTTCAAAAGTTTGTCAAGTAACATGGCGCCTCCTTCATCGGTCCTGGTTTCCCTCTTCTGAACACCCTCTAGTTTGTCTATTAAAGTGTGAAATTCACCGGTCCCACCCCGCCCCTGACCACACACCAGACCTCCAAGGTGATCTGGGTAGAGAAGTGCTAACACTCATTCTCTCCTTATCATCTGGGCTGCCTGGCTGCAGATTTGAGGAGAATACCTCCTGGACCATTGTTGTTGTGTTTTGTGTTTTTTTGTCTGGCCCTTGAAGACATTATGGTCTTCAAATCCTCTCAAGAGAGACCTTTTATGTAGCCCAATTCCACATTAATCTGGACAAATACCTCCTTAACTATACTATTGTTGACACTAAGTTTATCCCTGGATTGTCACCCATGCTGCTACAACCCACAGCTCTTTGGGGATTATATTCTCTCTTCCTCTGCTTTTGTGCCTTCTTCCTAAATGCATGACCTTGACCTTCATCCTTCCCATGTTTCCGCCTGTGAGATTCCAGGTGCATGGTCCCCTGTTAGGATGAGAATGAGGCTGACTGGCTCATGGACTGAA